GAGGAGGTAGTGGGTGATAGTGACAGGAAGCTGTTTCATTCGATGGTTGGGTCGCTGAATTATGCTGCAAATCATACACGGCCTGACATTGCATTTGCTACATCACGGTTGGCTAGTGTGGTCTCACGCCCTAGTCATGAGCAGCTGGAAGCGGCCAAGAGGTTGGTCCGCTATGTGAGTGCTACGGCATCAGTGGGATTGGAGTACAGTGGAGTGAGGCAGCGGTTGCAGAGAGGTGCTGCAGATGTGAAGAGTGGAGAGATGCTCTTGAGTTGCTATACTGACGCTAGCTTCAACTCAGTGAAAGCGGATGGCACCAGCATTGGGGGTTATGTGTGCTTGCTAGGAGGTGGTGCTGTGAGCTGGCGCAGCAAGAAGCAAAATGAGGTGGGATTGTCTTCATGTGAGACTGAGTACATGGCCTTACACCATGGGGCCAAGGAAGTGGTATGGCTGAGGCGTTTGTTGGAGGAGTTGGGAGTTGGTCAGGAGAAGCCGACAGTTGTGTTTTGTGACAATGAGTCCGCTGTGAAGCTCGCCAAGAATGCTTGTCTGCATGGGCTGACAAAACACATAAGGCCTAAGTGGCATTGGGTGAGGAGACTCCTTGATAAGGAGGTGCGGCTGGAGATAGTGAAGACCCATCAGCAGGCAGCAGATATTTTCACTAAGCGTCTGGCGGAGGCGGATCATTGGAAGGGCATGAAGCTTGCTGGGATGAGTGTGCATTGAGTATGCATGCTTGAGATGTGGTATGGTCGATGATGGTTGGCAGCCAGAGGGGGAGATTGTTGTGTGATGTCATCATATGCTATCACATTCTGTCTGCCTCCCATCCCATGTTTTTTCAACTTGCATGTGTGGTTTGAATGTGCAAGCATTTGTGTGTGGTGTGTTCTGGAGTTTGGGAATGTGTTTTGTGTTATTCTGTCTGAGCAGGTATTTGTGATAATAGATCTTGAGAAGATCTTTCCGACGCAACAAGAATCGCTTCAATCGGAGCAAGAACGCGAAAGCTATGAAGATTCAAAGTTCATGAGCTTGCGTTACAATTGCGGCGGTTACTAAGTGAAGTTGTGGGGTGACTTTATATGGAGTTGGGACCTTTGGGGTTGGGGAAACTTGTCACTCTACTGTAACAGCTGCAAATTGGTTGGGAACAACCAAGCTAGGTTGGCAAGGGTGGCCAACTTGGATGGATTGGTTGGGAAGGGACAAATGTCAAAGTTGGGGTTCCTATAGGGAGGGAATCTTTGTGCTTATGGGGTTTTCCTTGGTTGGGGACTCTCTTGGGACCTTCCCTCTCATCCCTCTCTTCCTATCCCAACCTTTCTCTTGCTCCTTCTAATTCCTTGTGAGATTCTTGAACTTTGATTGAACTCTTGAGATTGAGTTAAGTTCTCCTCCTACAGCTTACCCCCTAGTGCGTCGAAAGCCATAGCGTCGCGAATACTTCATCAATCAACGTGATTCAAATTGGGAACGGTAGCTGAGATCAAGAGCTACAACATATCCAAGTTTCGCGACATTCCAACGGCTAGTGTTTTGTCGACGTCGTTTCTTGTGAAGACGACTTTTCTGTCCAGAATTTCGGATTTATATTTTGAGTAATTCTAGCTCCTAAGTTCACCTAGACTCTGTCCTTAATCCTAACATGAGGTTGGGCCAGCGACTGCCAAAAGGGTTGGGGGAATAGAGTACACGGAACAAGACCAGTGCATTAGCGATGCTAGTCAACAATCGATAAACAACATCCAAAGGGAAGAATAAAAGCGCAAAAAAAAAGAGCAACAATCGTCCTTCGAGCAGCACTCTCTCACAAGGTCGACTCCGTCGAGCCGAGGTAGTTCGTCAGGCCTTGATGGAATCCCTCGTCGGCATGGTGGCTCAGCATCAGTGGCGCCCACGTGACCAGCTCCTTCTGCGCAGCTTGCAAGGAAAAGCCTGTCAGCCTGTTGTCGAACAAGGCACTGCAGCCATGTAGGTACTCCTTCAGCTTCTTCTCTCTCTGCTGCTTCATCCGGGGCCACTTCGACATGCGGAAGAGCTTCGTCGGGCCGAGATTGTTCAGGTCCAGCATCCTCGTCTTCAGGAAGCTTATCGTGTCCTTCGCGAACTGCGCGCAGAGCCGCTCGCAATCGGTGTACTTGCTGTGGAAGGCATGCCCGTCGATCTGCTTCTCGTGCATGGTGTAGGTGTGCGTGACTGGGTTGCCGTCCTTCTCGATGCCCCGCACCTTTACGCGTTTGCCCCCTCCGCGCCCGTAGACCGCCAAGAAAGCCGAAAGCCACGTGCCTTCAATACCCCCACCGAACACCTCTCCGCACTCCAAGTAACGGTGGCGGAGGTCCCCTGTCGCCTCGTCGATGTCCTTTGTCACTTCGGTGACATCGACCTGATGGAAGTGTCAGACAAGGGAGTGGAGTCAGAGGGTGATTCCAAACGTGGATGCATGGGACAAAAACTACAACAGCCACAGTGGTAGAAGCTCACCTCCCTCTTCTGGAATTTGAGGTTGAGCTCATTCATCACTCCGAGCACGTCCGCCAGGAAAAAAAGACAGAACTGGAACTTGTAACAGATGACGACCTCATACAGCTCATGCCCGTACTCATAAAAGAGAATGATAGCGGCGCCAAGGACCTTACAGAGGCGCCTCACAGCCTCACCCCTTGAAAGCCAGCGCACGGTGTGAATTCCTTGCACTTCAAGGTTGGTGTTGTGTATTGCCCGCTGCAGGTACTTGAAGCGTTGACTCCAGACACAGGAACGTCCCAGAAGATCGGCCAGAGTCCGAATCACAAGGTCGACCATGTCGAAGTCTGGAGAAGCAGTGGCCGCGTCCTTCACCGCCAAGGCTTCCCTGCGTGGTGCACACGAAGGAATTTTAGACAAGCAGTTGTAGGAACTCTAAGCGACTGAAATGACAAGCGGTTAATCCTGTGGGCGATGCAGTGCGACGAGACGAGGTGGGGGATGTGCTCGCGAAGTCGGGCGACGAGACCATTGTCTCGGCCGACCATGACAGAGGCGCCGTCGGTGCTCATGCCGGTGATTCGAGAGAGGTCGATGCCAGTTGCTCGCAAGTGAGCCAGAAGAACGGCGAGGAGAGACGCGGCATCGCACTTTTCGACGGTCAGGAGAGCAAAAAGCTCTGTGACAACACGATGCGCACGCAAGAAGGTCAGATAAACAATAAGATGTTTACCGCGAGTACGGTCAGTGCTCTCGTCGCAGCTGATGCCGAGGTAGGGTGAGGCGAGAATGTATTGCATTTGTCGGCGCTGCACGTAGGTTGCGAGGATGCTGACGAGCTGACAGAAGCCATACCTGTAGAAGCAGAAGTGACAGCAGGGTGTTGGTTAGACCTTTATGAAAAATGAAGAACATGGTGTACTTCGAGTAAGTGCATTACCGTGTCAGGTAGACTCCGTAAGACTGTAGCGGAATGTCCGTTGTCTCCTGCTCGGCCATGAAGCGGAGTAGCCTCGGGTACATGCTGATGGGTGCATCACACTTGCACAGGAAGTCGACGCAGCGTAGGAGCCTCATGACACGCTTCCCCTCGATGTCAGTCGGCGCGTAATTCTCCATGCGTCTCTGGGTGCTGGCGATGTCTTCGGTGATCTCCATCTGACGCTTGACTGCTACTTCGTGGGCTGTCGTGTGTTCGTGGAACCGCATCGCTTGCGTCTGCAGGTCACGTGCCCCGTCGCGGCTGTTGGAGTACGGTGTTGTCTCTTTGCCGAAAGCCTTGCACACACTGCACTTCAAAGCAAGGTAACCGTCTTTCGTTTTCGTTAGCAGAAGCCAAGGGAAAAATGGAAGCCAGCTGGTCTTATACTTGTGCTCAGCCATGAGATACTTCTTTTTCGATGAGTTCCTTCTTTGAGAGATTCGGCGGCTCGGGTTCTGGAATACCAGGGGCCTGAGGTTCAGGCGACATGCGAGGCGGCGACCGTCGATGTAGCTTCCCGCCGAGGACTATCGTGCTCTGGGTGTACTTCCCGACGCGTGCTTTCTTCCCAGATGAAATCGTCGACGCACACTCGACCGTGTAACGCACGGTCGTGGCTGTCTCGCAGTCTGGAACCAAAGGGCCCCGGCTAGATGAGGCGACAGCGGGCGGAGGTACATAGGGAGCGGCGGGAGTAGATACGGGTTGTGATGGTGTAACGACTGCGGTGGGAGACCGCAAGATGTCTAGAGCGGATCTACGGACCTCCACGGGGGGGTCCCTACCTAGTCCAGAACCATCATCGGCAGTGGGAGACTCACCAGAGTCTCCTACATCCGCCATGGCTAGAAGCGGCGGATATGATGGAAATGAGAAATCGGAGCGACGAAACTAGAGGAGACAGAAGACTGGAGCATCTCATAGCTGTGACGTGAAGAACAGAAAAAAACTGGGTTGGAGGAGGAGCTGGTGAAGAAGACGGGAAGAGGACCAAGAAGCACCATCTTTCGATTTTCATGGATGGTGCATAACCCATCCAGGTTCCCGTATCGCCATGGCAATAACGTCAACGGCGAGACGCACCTGCGCTGGCATCGTCTGCACAGAGATGATTGGCGGGGTGATGTCATACAGAGGCTGACATTGCCGCGCTCATCATATTCTGTCCTCGTCTGCTGCGTGCTGAGTCACGAATGCCAGTTGACGGTTGCGAATGTTGCTGTAATGGCAACATACAGCGTGTTCACGGCGGGAATCTTGCCGAGTGCAGATTCCCCACGTGACGCATGCTGGGCGTGTTCAATGGACTGGGCCCCGTCACGCGTAAGGGGGCCATTTCGAGGAAACTCAGGGTCCGCATGGATGTCGCATTCAGGGTTCGTACGCGTTACTCCCTGAAAACTCAGTGTTGGGATAACGCAAACCCTGAAATTTTCAGTGTTCACAAACATACAACCCTGAAGAGGTTAGGGTAAAAAAAAACCCAACCCTGAAAATTAAGGGTTGGCCAAAAAAATACCCTGTGAAATCAGGGAATCAGGGTAAAATACCCTGATAACGACAGCCCTGCACTCAACCATCAAGAGGGACCCCCCTCTGCTATTTTGCCGTGGGGTTTTAACACGGCTTGGTTCAGATCTGGTCGAATGAGCCGTTGCCTAGTACCAAGCTGAGCGAGGCTGCTCCTGATGCACCATTCTGGGCTCTTGGTTGAGGTGAGGTCCTCCTCAGCACCCATTCCCACTTTTTGTACGAGCAGTGCAGTGACTGCCATCCTCATACACGTGCCTCCGGTACCTGTGTCCTCTTGCCCCCACTTCACATCACACGTTCCATAAAACGGCATACGGCGAACAAATGCATACATGATCACAAGTCACAGGCATCCTTCAGCCACCATTCCTCGCTAGCACTACCCCACGACTTTTCCGGTTCAGGTGGGAACTTGGTACTCAGAAACTCTCTTCCGGAGCATGAATTGCACGGGTGGAAACTGCACTGATTCCATCTGACCCTCCTCCTCCACCCAGTGCATTCAGCCGGCTTCTCACTAGACTGATGAAGAAACCCCCTCACAATGCAGCTCACCATCTGCTGCTCGCGCCAAGTAGCCCCTCAGAAGCCCTCTCATCATGCCGCCGTCCCATCAAGCCGATGCTGAGAACCCCCTCACAATGCTGCTGATCATCTGCTGCTTCTGACCAGCAGCCTCAAAGCAACCCTCCCATCCTGCCAACCCCTCATCCTGCCGACCTCCCATCAAGGCAATGCTGAGAACCCCCTCACAATGCTGCTGATCATCTGCTGCTTCTGCCCAAACGTCCACGATGGATTGTTCTGCAATGGAGGGGTCAAGCATGGGTGGGGCATCAGTGATCGTGGGCAGAAACGAACGAGCAAAGATGGATGTACGGACATCCAAATGCAATGCAACACACATGCACTGTACGGCTCTGCTGCTCATGCACCCTAAAGCCGCCTTTAGGAAACATAATGCTACAACCATACCACTAACAGTCACACCTTTTACACTCCACCCCCACATACAGTCACACCCACCTGCAGGGTGAGCAGTGCGCGTTTGGTGAACGCCACAGCCTGGGGTGACACGCCAGTCGGCAGCTTCTCAGCAGCTTCCTGCAGCACTTTGTTCTCCTGCAGCGCTGTCATCTGCTGCGGGCCCGCGTAGAGCGCGACAAGGGACTCGAGTTGATCGGCTCGAGACAGGCAGTCCTGCAGGGCGGCCTGAGGGGGGGAAGAGGGAAGAAGCAGAGAGCAACGTCATCTGCTGCGGGCCCGAGAGCGCCACGAGGGACTCGAGCTGATCCGCACGGGACAGGCAGTCCTGTAAAGCGGCCAGCGAGAGGGAGGGGTGAGGGAGGGGAGAGGGAGGGAGAGACGGAGCAGAGAGTCCTGTCATCTGCTGCGGGCCCGCGTAGAGCGCCGCCGCCAGAGACTCCAGCTGGTCGGCCCAGGACAGGCAGTCCTGTAAAGTGGCCTGGGAGAGGGGGAGTCAGGGGAGGGGGAGGGAGAGACAGACTGAATCAAGAATGACTGCTGACAGGCACACACGCCCCCTGCCTGTCTCTCCCCCCCCCATCCACACAGGCAAAACAAGCACTCACCTGGGTGGGACTCCTCTTGACTCTGCATGCCCGTCAGCACCATGAGCTCCCACCTGGGTGCCACCATCACCTCGTGCAGCCAAGGATGGCACTGCCAGGGTGGGGCCTCGTGCCCCTCCCGGCACACAATCACCCTCCCGGCACACAATCACCCTCCCGGCACACCCCATCTCTCTTTGCACGCACCTGAAACTCCTCCTCTGTCTGCATGCCCGCCAGCGCCATGAGCCACCGCACCACTGGTGCCCCTCCAGCCATGCTATGACCCCCATCGCCCTCTCACCCCCCTGAAACTCCTCCTCGCTCAGCATGCCCGCCAGCGCCATCAGCTCCCGCTTCGCCTCCACCATCACCTCCTGCAGCGACGGCACCTCAGGGGCCTCCTGCCCCTCCATCCTCACTCTGCCACTCTCACTCTCACATTCAGTATCACTAACAAGCAAAGAAGCACCCACCTGGAACTCCTCCTCCGTCTGCATGCCAGTGAGCGCCATGAGCTCCCTCTTCGCCTCCACCATCATCTCCTCTAGTGACGGCACCGCGGGGGCCTCCTGCCCCTCTAGCTCGAGCACGGGGTTGGAGGCGAAGTCGTCAGTCAGGTACTCGGGCTCAAAGTCCACCTGCCACGCGGGGAAGAAGGAAGAAGAGAGACAGGAATCCTCTTTACAAGACGTCTCACCACGAGACTGCAGCCCCCCCCCTCTAGTTCGAAGACAGGGTTGGAGGCGCGGTCGCCAGTCAGGTACTCAGGCTCAAAGCCCTCCTGCGGGGAGAAAGGGGGGGAGTGGAGGAGAGAGAGGGGAGCTGGCCTGCGTGTGATAAGCTGTCACAGTACACAACAGCAGTCGCCTGCCGTTCCAGCGCGGCCATCACAAGATTAAAGGGATGGAGGCGAGGCGAGGACCGAACCGAGGTGACTTTTAACCGTGGTGACTCGTGGTTCGGCAGGCGGCTCAAAAGTCACAACGAGGACCGAACCACGCCGACCGGCATGGATGACCCACCCATAAACCCAAAACCCTTCAACCCAACAGCCCATAAACCCTTCAACCCAACAACCCACCAGCCCATAAACCCGCCATAAATCGCTGATGCAGAGCGGAGTTGGCAGCCTCAGTGGCCTCCAGGAGCGGTGTGCTCCGTTGCACCCCTGAGCACCCCTGAGCACCCCTGAGCACCACCTCCTCCATGCACCAAGCCTTGGTACCCAGCAACCCATGAAACCCATGAGCTCACAACCCCCCCTGCACCCACCATGAACCGCTGGTGCAGAGCGGAGTTGGCCACCTCAGCTGCTTCCAGGAAGTCAAGGAACTCGCCCACCTGGCGCTCCTCCTCACCGCTCAGCACCGCATCCTCTATGAACCGCTGCACCACGCCCTCCCTAGTAACGCCCTTGCCGCCCCGCGTGTCTCTCCTCCCCCCTCCCCCACCGCCCCGCGCCCGCTGCACCGCCTGCTGCCCGTCCGCCCCTCGGTCCATCACAAGGCCAAGCCCCATCCCCCCTCCCCTCTGCGCTCCCTCCCTCCCTCCCCTCCTCTGCTCTCCCTCCCTCGGGCCCCTCCGCTGCCCTCCTCTCCTCCCCTCCTCTCCGCCTCTCCTACCTTCGGAGCCTCCCGGACCTGCGCCTCCCGGGCCTGCCCCTCCCGGACCTGCGCCGAGCCTGCGGCGGGACATGACCGAGCCGAGAGCCTCGGTGGCGAACTGGCTGACGGCGTCGCGGCGGGACGAGGCTCGGGTGTGCTCCCGAGCCTTAGCCATAGACGCGGAGAGAATGCCCAGCGCACGCTCAGTGGCCTCCTCTCGGGATAAGGCCGGGGGAGGGGGGGTCTCTGGGGCGAATTCAGCCGCGCCCTTACCTGCCTCCTCCCCTCCCACTGCCGCCTGTCCTTCCTTCCTCTCGTCTCTCCCCCCTTCACCCCTTCCCCTTTCCATCTCCCTCTCCCTCTCCCTCTCGCCGCCCCTCCACTCCTCCACACGCCTATCCATCCTGCCCCCTCCTCTACCCGCACCTGCTGCCGGACCTCCCAGGCCCGGCCTTACCATACCTGCCCCGCGCCCTCCCTGCATCAGACTGCCTCGGCCCAAGCCTGACGCCGGAGCAGCAGCAGCGCCCGCGCCACTACCGCCAGCACCAGATGCATCTACTGCAATCCCTTCGGCCCCCCTCTCTTGCTGCTGCTGCTGCTGCTGCTGCTGCTGCTGCTGGTCGGGAAGGGCCCGGAAGAAGCGGTGGAAGCGGCTCTCCTGGAGGGACCGTTTGAAGGGCACCTGCTCCCGCGCCTCCGACTTCGCAGCATCGTCAAGAGAGACCCCCACGTCAGCAGCTGCCACGTCAGCTGCAGCGGGAGCTACCGAGCTGGCAGATTCGGTGGATGCCCGAGGCTGCGAGCGAGGTGCGGGGCGGGATGGCACTGGCAGGGGAGGCTGCTGGGTGAAGGGAGGAGGGCGCGTGTGGAGGCGAGGGGAAGGGGGGCGGTCGGGGGTGTGGGGGGGTGTGAATGCCGCGGTTGGGGGAGTGTAAGGTGGGGGCGGGGGAGTAAAGGGCGGAGGTGGGGGAGATGAGGTAGCCGCAGCAGCAGCAGGGGGTGGGGGGAGTGGAGCATCAGCAGCATCAGCAGCAGCAGCAGGAGGGGCGGCAGCATCAATGGGCGCAGCAGTGGGAGAAGCTGTCTCTGACGCAGACGCTGGCTGCGACGCAGCAAGGGCAGCTTCAGAGTCAGAGTCGGCGCCAGCAGCCTTTCGTCGGAGCTTCATCCTCACGCGCATCTCCTCTCTCTCCCTCGCACTCAGCTGCTCACTGCTGCTGCCGCCACCCATGCTGCCACCCATGCCACCTGCACCGCTGTCACCGCCCGTGCCGCCAGCGGTTGCAACAACAGCAGGGGGCGGGAGAGGCGCTGGGGGAGCAGCGGCGGGGGGGGGAGGAGCTATAGTGGCGTCAGCAGCAGCGCCAGCAGCAGCAGCGGCCCTAGAGGCGTGGTTCGCCGCATCTTCCATCCTCTCGATATCGCCCACCTCAGCATACATCTCAACCAGCCCGTTCCACGTCGGCGCAGATAAGAAAAACCCCGCCGCCCGCGCCTCGCCCACCATCCGATCCACCTCATCCAAGTCCCGCCTGCGCGCGACGCTCCGAATCGCCGCCTCGCGCGCGGCGCTGTCCAATGGGACGCCGCCAGCTCGCGAGTCGGCGAGGACGCGTGCCACGTCAGCATCCCTCCCTGCGCGCTCGTACGCGACGAGCATGCGGGATAGCGCGGCGGGGGACAGGCCTATGGGGGTGCCGCCCGCGGGGGGAGCGGGGGGAGGCGAGGGAGGGGGAGGGGTAGGAGGGGGAGCGCCAACTGCGTCCTGCGCCTCGAGTTGCTGCTGCGGGGGAGAATGGGCGGGGAAAGCCGCGGAGGGCCGACTGATCGGCGCGCCCGGGGGAAACCGACCCGGGCCGGGGATCCCGGGCGCGCCTGGTGCCCCCCACGACCGCGCGTAGCCGGGGGCAGAAGGGGCTCCGCCAACTCCCCTTCCCGCGCTGCCTCTCCCCCTCCCCCACATGCCCCCCGCCTCTCCTCCGCCTCTCCCGCGACCTGGGAAGCCGCGCCCGGCGGCACCCCCACCCAAGCCACCGTCGCCGTCGCTGCCGCCGCCATTTCCGCCACCGCTACCCGCGGCGCCACTGGGGGGTAAGGCGGCGCTGGTAAAAGCTGCGGAGGGCGGTTCGGAAACGGAGCGGTGGGTGAGGGAAAGAGGAAGAGCGAAAGGATTGGCAGGGCTGCTGACGAGCCGCGGAGATGGCGTCGTGAAGACCGGCTGGCCGATCTGACGGCGGAGATGCGGCTCGAGCCGCACAATGCAGCGCCTCATGGTGAATGGGCAAAGCTGGTTCGGATACGGCGGATCGGATAAAATCGGGGGTCAAGGGAGCGTGGGGAGAAGAGCGCGTGAGGACGGAGCGGTACGGCAGAGAGACGGGGGGGTAAGGTGCCCCCTCGCCGGTGGATGCGGAGAGAAGTGGGATGGGATGGTGTGAGGTGGATGGAAAGCGTAAGAAGCTGCGAGAAGCGAGGAGGACACGGATATACGCGCTACAAACAGCTTGTACCCTCGATGATAGCACGATTTGGGTGAAAGTACAGCAATAACCCAACTTCACAATAATCAGCACTGAACCGCCTTCCTTTCCATCAGGGCTGATTTTATCAGACTATTTACTCTGATTAGTCTGAAATCTCATACCTGTTTTTTTGCCAAACCTGAATTTCCAGATGTTGGAAATATCTCAAAGGACTTGAGCGTTTCTGAAGTGTAACACTGCACTCGAGGAAGATCACAACGGGTACGCGAGTCAACGGAGGTTACGAGGGGGCGGACAAAGAACGCGAAGGGACTCGAAGGGTCGCAACTGGAAGTTGCGACTGACCGTTACAACAGCGCGGATGGTAACCGAAGCGACAACCAAGTCGCTGTGCGACTCGATAACCGCTCCTGCAACTGTATTCTACAACTGCTTTACTTTCCTATTTTCTATATATTGCTGTATGCTTGTTTCTTTAATCAATCACTTGTTCTCATATACTAGTACAAGGGTTCAACTACTCAACTTCCGCTGCACTACAGTCTCATTTTACAACTGGGACTCAGTCTCTGGAAAGATCCTAAGGGCTTTTCTCAGCCCAACATGGTATGAGAGCTGGTCAGAGACCAAACTCCCAGCAACGACACTCTATCTACAATCTGCAATTCAACGACTTCATTAATTACAAACCATGGACAGCAAGGGCAAGAAGACCTCTACGGGCTCACCCAGCACCCAAGACATTCAACCCGGCAACTCTGGATTGCATACTTCAGGGCTGCAAACCGAGACCGGCGCTGCTCAAGAAACAACAGGAAGAGCACCGGAAATGGTGACCCCATCACCCTCTTCAAGCGTGGATCCGAACCTTATGGAAAGGTTCTTCAGCTTCATGTCGCACTTCGACCAGTAGCAGCAGACAAGGACACCTGCGCATTCAACACAGAGCAACGGAGGAAACATGGGATTAGCGCCGATGAGCCTCAACAATTCATCGTTCGGGCGACACAATCAAGCGCCTACCTTTGCGCCTTATCACTCTTCACCGGGGACGTTCGAGTTCATGCCGCCCCGTGCCCAACCAACGGCAGCTGCATCACAACAAACACCAAACGAGATTTTAAGTCTCCAGGCGCAGTTTTCACACGTGATTAAACTGCAGACATCATCACCATTCAACGGACACGATTTCTTTACCTGGAGTTTTGAGTTCGAGCTGCTGATGGAGGCTGCGCATCTCCTGGGATACTTCAATGGGTCCCTGCCATTCCCAAGCAACGGCACTGCTAAGGAACAGGAAATCTTCACTTATCAGTCGCTGCTGGCGTACACAGTTCTCCTGCGGAACCTGTCACCACAAGAACAGCAGAGCATCAGAACATATCGGAGCTATGGAAACTCCGCGGAACTCGCATGGCATCATCTCAAGTGTCTCTATCAAGCAAACGACAGCGTGACACAAAGCAGACTCATGCAACAACTGACAACAATACAGATGAAGACAGGGGAAAAGGCGATGTAGTATATGAGTCGCTGCCAGACCCTCCGCGACCGCCTGCTTCAGTGCGGAGGAACAATCACTGAGGAAAGCTTTGTGACGCTTGTCCTCGCCGGGCTCGGACCAGAATGGAGAACCACACGCTCGCTTCTTCGCGCCCACGGAAGAATCTCGGAGATGCACCTCTACGCCGAGCTTCACGCTGAACAACAGGAGATGGACCTGTTCGAAGAACGACAACCAAGGAAGCAGCAGCAGTTAGTTTTCTACACTCAATGAAGGAACGACAACAACTACAATCGACGTGGCAAGCAAGATCAACGCGACAACAGAGGACTCACCTTCGTGCCGCCGTTCTGCCACAACTGTCAGACTTCTGGACATTCCAAGTCAACTCCACACGTCCTCGTGTTTATCGTCCAGTAGACCCACACGGCGCCTCCACTCAAGAAAGCCCTCCAAGGCACTCTTCCACATCTGCACAAGGGACACCGAACATCATTAACTGCATGGTACACATCGACAACTGCGCATCCGGATCACCACCCACTTACGCACCAGACGAAGAAGAACTTCCGCCGCCGCGCTCACAAGGACTTCAGGTCAACCCGACATACGCTGCGGTCGCCAACGCCGAACCCACCGGGCGAAACACCTGGTTCTTGGACAGCTGCTGCGGTCAACACATGTGTTCTTCCGGACGCTTCGTGCAACGAGAGCGACGCCTCAACCGCGACGTCATCATCACCGTCGCCAACAACGAAAACCTGAAAACAAACAGACAAGGAGTGGTTCAATTACAATCCATGGAGACGAACGTCATACTTCAACTCAACAAGGTCCTCATCGTCGACAACTTGGGATACAACTTACTAAGCGTAAGCCAGCTAATGGCAAAAGGGATTCACCTGGAGTGCGACTCCTACTCCAACGAGTTTCACCTTTACCACGGAAAGGGCGGTCTCTTCATCGGTCGTGCTCTCCTGAAGTCCGGCGTCTTCGTGTTAGACTTCGTCCCCGACCGCGGTACTGCCGACAGCGACGGAATCGTGTCGTTCGCCGCCTGGACACACCCGCCGGATCTTGACCCCGACTTTGACCCAGATGGATTCTGGCACTCCAACACCATACCTGCAGCAGAGAGAACACGAGCATTAGCAGTCATCAGACAAGAAAGACAAGTACCAGCAAGTGTCCCTTCCCAACCATCACCGGCAGTAGCAGCAGCAAGATCCAGCCGAGTACCACCACCAGCGATCCGAGGATCGCCAACCGAAGCAGATCAACTTATGCCCATCACACGAGAAGTCTGTCGAAGTCCCGCCACAGTCGTCGCGTTCTTCTCCAACACCGACATATACCATCGTTCGCCCGGCCATCGCGCTCCCGACGACATCTAGCACCAACGACTCGGGCACCCTACAAACAGTACAATACTGCAAACCATCCAAGCCGAAGTGTTAGAACGCAACGCTCTCCTAACAACGAGCGACCAAGAACTTCGACGACCACGCGCACGGTGCTTTACGTGCCCCGAAGCCGATCTTCCTCACCAGCCTTTCCCATCTCATCACAACCCAAGCGCACCTGCATACGCACCGATGGAAAAAGTCTACAGCGACATTTTAAACATGCCTCGAGAAGACACTGAAGCCGACTTCAACTATGTCATCACGTTTATCGACGCAGCAACAAGATACGTCTGGCACTACAACCTCAAGATGCGCGACCAAGCCTTCGACGCCTTCACGACATGGCTACCCATCGCCGAACGAGAATCAGGAACCAAGCTCAAGAGCTTCCAGTCAGACGGTGCACTGGAATACCAGTCACAACGCTTCAGGACCTATCTGGCGGAAAGAGGAATCAGATGCCTGGTGTCTCTGCCCTACGCTCACCAGCAGCAGGGGGTCGCAGAACGCATGAACCGGACCTTGCAGACGACGATGCGAAAGTTGCTCCTGGGGATGAGACTGCCCACCACACTGTGGCCAGACGCGATGACACATGCAGTCCACCTGCACAACATGCTGTCCTCGTCATCGCTTCCCAACAACGCATCACCGCACCTGCTGTGGACGCAAAAAAGGGGCAGCACAAAATTACTCCGAGTTTTCGGCTGCATGGTACAGTACAGACCTCACACAGCCCGAGCAGGATGCTTCACTCAACGAGCTCGGTGGGGACTACACCTCGGCATCGCAAAACATTTTCACGCATGGAAAATCCTCGACATACAAGACAAAAATACAGTGGTATCACGTGATGTTATCTTCTACGAACGACTGACGCTGCAGCATTACCTGGACAACATTGCCAACACACACGACCCCACCGACAGCTTCGCGGGCCTTCGTTCCTTTGCCGACCGTGCTGCCGAGGCTGACGCAGCAGAAGACGACGTACCTGGAGCCTCGGAAGCTGCCGGACCACTCCCTTTCTGTTCCGTACCTGTTCCACTCGACGAAGACAATCCTCTCGATAGTAACAACCTCGACACCTTTTACCACTTCGCTGACCAAGGTTACACTACACCCCACCCGGTCGACACAAATGTTTCAGAACGCATCGGCCCCAACTTCTTACCTGATCCAGAAGACGGTGACGAAGCAGCCTATTCCGGGAATGAAAATTCCCCTCGACACACACCCACGGGACTGCAGATCCTCGGCCTATGGGTCTCCGTCCAGCATCCACCGCCGCCATCTCCGCGCGAGCCCTCGACTCTGTTGCAGGCTCTGGGGGGGAACATAAGACGAAATGGAAGGAGGCGATGGAAAGGGAACTAAAGGCTCTGCAAGACCGAAATACATGGAAGCTGGTACCTGCAACAAGCATCAACGGGAAGAACGTCCTCTCGGGAAAATGGGTGTACCGCATCAAGACCAACGCGGACGGTTCCATCGTACGATTCAAAGCTCGATGGGTCGTACGAGGCTTCGATCAACGATACGGAACCGACTACACAGAAACTTTTGCCCCAGTCTCCCGTCACACCTCCCTGCGCATCCTACTCGCCGTCGCGGCCACGAAGAAACTACCATTGCGTCAAATCGGCGTCGCAAACGCTTTCCTGTACGCACCTGTGGACGCTGAGATCTTCGTTGAGCAGCCCCACGGATTCATCGACGACCCTACGAAAGTATGCCAACTGATAAAATCCCCTACGGGATCAAACAAGCTCCGCGGCTGTGGCAGCAGCATCTTCACGGCCGCCTCGTCAGAATCGGCTTCCTACAGTTGCCGCACGACCAAGGCATGTATCGACTTCAGAAGGAAAAAGCCTTTATCCTTCTCATCGTCTACGTCAACGACCTGCTCTACATCGGCTCCTCGACCGACATCGCCATCTGGTTCGAAGGGGAGCTGAGAAGTGACCTGACACTCGCAGTGTCAGACACAGTGACCCAGTACCTGGGACTAAATGTCGTCGAAGACAACTCGGCATTTTAC